TCTATATGGGATTCTTCTTTGTATATGGAGTAAGATTTCCTCCATGATTGGTGTCAGTATTCATCCATGACTCCATCAAGATCTGAATCCAACACTTTCAGGTTATGCACTTTTAGTAGAATGATATTAATGTGCAAATATACATATTCATTATGACCACATTTCTACAGTGTCCACCAATTACTACAACATATTGAGTAGTCCAGCCAAATGAACTATGCCTGTCTACATGTCTCAAACTAGTTACAGAAGACTCCTCCTCATTGTTTTTATGTCTAGTTCTGGTCATTGACTTCAACTTGTAGGGCTTTTTACTCACAATACGCATCTTATTTTCTTCAGTTTGTACTCTATACTTGAATATTATGTTTTTTCGCGGAAGAATACAGTGATATACATGTCACTGCAGATTAGTATTGATTTATGGTTGTATTTCTTTTACGAAGTGTTGAACTACTTATAAGTAGCGTGGTTACTTTAAATAAATAATTTGTGTCAGATTAGTTTTTATGAATTTTATGCTCAGTGACGACAAAACTTCGACGGAATCTCCTTTTTCAGCAGTTCTACTCTTGCCTAACTTGATAAGTTTCACAGTGAAAAATTAAATTTGTAAGAATTCAACGCTAAAAGTGTTTTTAATCCATACATTCCTCAACTGGAGAATCACTCCCTTCATGGTTGCATATACGCCGTGCTAATAATGGGTGTATTGAGAATAAGCACGAGACCTAAGTTCATAGTTCCCTGCTGGTTTTTGCTATAGTGTAACACCTAGCTTGATGACCACTTCGTATTCATAATTGACTGAATCCAGTTTGAAATAACACTAAAAATCGTATACGGGACATTCGTTACTCTCTAGTAAGTTATCAATTGGGAATGCAGGTTCGAATCGCTGAGGATGGCGTATCAGTCCTTTGTAGACTGTGAATACTCCTTGCTGAATATTTTTTTATTATTGGTCGCCTAGCTACTGAGTGGAACACAGGGCCTCAACAGCACATCTGCACTTTATCCTATTCTCTCCAGTTCACTTTAGCTGGTCCCATGATCGCCCATCATAATAACGGTGAAGCTTTTTTTAAGACAGACAGAATATACGGTAAAAACATTTTCAGCGTATTCAGTTCCAAAGTACTTTTTTCTTCATACAAGATTCACATGTAAAGTAATTAATGAAGTATATATTCGTTTCGCTGAAGAATTGTACAGCGTTAACTTAAGAACAAGTTAAATCATCGCGAAAGTTTATGTGTAGGTCATTTGATATAACTGGACGATTAAAACAATGATAAACCTAGATGAAATTAAGCATTTTGGAGGAAACTAGTTTCGGTAGCCCAATGATTTAAGCAGGCCGCCTTTCGTGTCCTCCTTCTCCTCCAAACAAACACATAACTCGCCTTTTCCCATTCGGATGGTCCAACTTGAGCTTTGATGAGGTACGTGATGTCATCCAGCGGGCTTCTGAGAGTATGACCGATTCCAATAGCAAGAACGTAGAATTCAGACCCATTGCCATCACTTCCCCGTTTCTAAAGCTCATGGAAAAGCTAGTACTTCGTAAACTCGAACCGTTCCTTAAAAGTTTCGAGGACCCCAAACAATTCCCCTATAGACAGGGTAGGAGCACTCTAGACGCTGCAGCCGTGTTATACAACAGTATCGTCTCATCATTAGATAAAGGTGCCAAATACGTCCGCTACACGTTTCTCTACTTCACTTCTGCTTTCGACTCTGTACCTAGATGTCTCTTGCTAAATAAGCTCTCCATGACACAAACCGAGTCCTGGGTCACTAACTGGCAACAGCAAGAACGTAGAATTCAGACCCATTGCCATCACTTCCCCGTTTCTAAAGCTCATGGAAAAACTAGTACTTCGTAAACTTAAACCCTCCCTTAAAAGCTTCGAGGACCCCAAACAATTTGCCTACAGACAGGGTAGGAGCACTCTAGACGCTGCAGCCGTGTTATACAACAGTATCGTCTCATCATTAGATAAAGGTGCCAAATACGTCCGCTACACGTTTCTCTACTTCACTTCTGCTTTCGACTCTGTACCTAGATGTCTCTTGCTAAATAAGCTCTCCATGACACAAACCGAGTCCTGGGTCACTAACTGGCAACAGCAAGAACGTAGAATTCAGACCCATTGCCATCACTTCCCCGTTTCTAAAGCTCATGGAAAAGCTAGTACTTCGTAAACTCGAACCCTCCCTTAAAAGTTTCGAGGACCCCAAACAATTCCCCTATAGACAGGGTAGGAGCACTCTAGACGCTGCAGCCGTGTTATACAACAGTATCGTCTCATCATTAGACAAAGGTGCCAAATACGTCCGCTACACGTTTCTCTACTTCACTTCTGCTTTCGACTCTGTACCTAGATGTCTCTTGCTAAATAAGCTCTCCATGACACAAACCGAGTCCTGGGTCACTAACTGGCAACAGCAAGAACGTAGAATTCAGACCCATTGCCATCACTTCCCCGTTTCTAAAGCTCATGGAAAAGCTAGTACTTCGTAAACTCGAACCCTCCCTTAAAAGTTTCGAGGACCCCAAACAATTCCCCTATAGACAGGGTAGGAGCACTCTAGACGCTGCAGCCGTGTTATACAACAGTATCGTCTCATCATTAGACAAAGGTGCCAAATACGTCCGCTACACGTTTCTCTACTTCACTTCTGCTTTCGACTCTGTACCTAGATGTCTCTTGCTAAATAAGCTCTCCATGACACAAACCGAGTCCTGGGTCACTAACTGGCAACAGCAAGAACGTAGAATTCAGACCCATTGCCATCACTTCCCCGTTTCTAAAGCTCATGGAAAAACTAGTACTTCGTAAACTTAAACCCTCCCTTAAAAGCTTCGAAGACCCCAAACAATTTGCCTACAGACAGGGTAGGAGCACTCTAGACGCTGCAGCCGTGTTATACAACAGTATCGTCTCATCATTAGACAAAGGTGCCAAATACGTCCGCTACACGTTTCTCTACTTCACTTCTGCTTTCGACTCTGTACCTAGATGTCTCTTGCTAAATAAGCTCTCCATGACACAAACCGAGTCCTGGGTCACTAACTGGCAACAGCAAGAACGTAGAATTCAGACCCATTGCCATCACTTCCCCGTTTCTAAAGCTCATGGAAAAGCTAGTACTTCGTAAACTCGAACCCTCCCTTAAAAGTTTCGAGGACCCCAAACAATTCCCCTATAGACAGGGTAGGAGCACTCTAGACGCTGCAGCCGTGTTATACAACAGTATCGTCTCATCATTAGACAAAGGTGCCAAATACGTCCGCTACACGTTTCTCTACTTCACTTCTGCTTTCGACTCTGTACCTAGATGTCTCTTGCTAAATAAGCTCTCCATGACACAAACCGGGTCCTGGGTCACTAACTGGTTACATTCCTACTTCTCAAACAGAATGCAGTACACTGTATGCAAAGGCGAATCCTCCTCTACTGTGCTCACTGAAGCTGGTGTCCCCCAAGGTGCTGTACTCTTCCCACTTGTCTTTTCTTTCATCCTACATAACCTACCATCTTCAAATGACATTAATTTTGTCAAATATGCTGACGACCTGGCTGTATCTTTGCCTGTCAAATGTCAAAGTGACTGATCTAAACCAAATGGCTTCTTATCAGAAATCAGTCTATGGTCCAAGAAAAACGGTCTCACCTTAAACCCTCCAAATGCCAAAGAGTTAATTTCACCTTTAGGCACAAATCTGACCTAAACAAACTGGTTAGCACTCACGAGGTGTGCAACATAGATGGCACTGAAATTGAAACCAAGTCGGATTTTAAATACCTAGGCGTCACTCTATCTTCCGATCTTTCCTGGTCGTCTCATATCTTGACGATTTCCAAGAAAATATTCCGTCTTACCTTCTACATCAAGAAGTTAAGACATTCTGGTGTAACCCAACCCTTACTCCTACAATTTGTTAACTTCCGTATTCTGTCCATTATTCTCTATTGTTCCTCCTTAGTCTTTCCTGGGCTATTGAAAAAAACTATACCTTATTACGCAGTATGTTAAAGGTTGTCAGCAGGGTAAGCAGTGTGCCACTTAGCCAGCTTGTTAATATTCTGGTGGACAGGCACATGGACTCGTGTGAAAAATGGGCAAAATCCATTTTATCTAACGCACACCATCCTCTTCATTCACAACTCTCCCCTTGTATCTCATCAGGTAGAACCAGAAGCCTATATAGAAAACTATATGCTCGCACCAGCAAGTACAAAAACTCAACCATACCCTACTTAGCTCGTGTTCTGTGCGATAAAGAAAGCATTAGGCGTGAAACTTATAACTTAATAAATAGTCAGTAGAACAACTGGATCTCATCTTTTGAACTCATATTATTTATAGGTACAATGTTTTCTTTATTTCTCTTTTTTTTCTGTTATGTGCTATTCTGTTTCTCTCCTCCTTACAAACTTTATTTAAAACATTCTTCTTCTTTCTTTTACATTCTGTATATCTCGATCTTTTTGTTACTGCTTACGCCAGTAAATATGCTAGAACCTGCTTTTCTAGCACCTTCAAACATACTGTTCAATTTTTGCCCTTGCTACCGACATGCCAATATGTTGTTGTCATAATGAACTGAGATTTTCTTAATCTATGTAGAATTTTATTTATTGATAATGTACTAACTGGATGCAATATTGTAGTAAAATGCTGAGAATTTCATTCTGTATCACAAGTACTGTTTTGGAATAAAGCAAATTATTATTATCTGCATTTTCCTTAGTATATTTGTTGAGCACTTCTTTCTTGTTTAGTTCGTTCTCAGAGTTTCTCGTTCCTAATTGTTTCTGTATGTCATGTCTGATTAGTAGATCAGAGTAGACCAGTGCTAGTTATACTTGATTACTTGTACATATTCCTTACCCTATTTTGTAATATTCATAGCAAAATTTCACCGACTCAGAATAAAAAAAAATATTTTTTATCATGTCTCTTCTCTTGATACACTTGAAAAATGGTAGTTTGCAAGCCAATTCACGTTGAAACCGTTGAAATTAAAAGGATTTCTACAAACCTGGAATATTGATCAACAGGAAAATCAAACATGTCATCCAATTATATCAGATTTGACATTTTTAATGGATATATGCAAGGAAAGTGTAAGTGGGGTTACTACTACTACTACTGCTAACAGTAACAATGAAATTGTTACAAGCAGAATTTATGCAAATGATAAAGTGTTAATGAACAAATGGATTGAAAGAATAAATCTACTCCAAGATCAACTCAGTCCAAATGTTGAACGTTTTTTATGCTCTCGCCCGTCTACCTGGCATCGGTGTTTATGCATAGCTAGAGATAAATTTGAATACTACTTTAATCACAAGGTAGGTGTGTGCTATCATGAGTAGTATCTTTGCGTTAATGTGTATTAATTATTCTTTGGTTGTTTTTGTTGTTGTTATTATTATTGTTGTTTTTTTTTCTCTACTCACTTTTATTCCCCTAATGAAATTTAATTGTTTCCAATAAATTTAATTTAGCATCAATTACTTTGATTGATTAAATTTATCACTGAATTCTAATTATACTTATTGGAAAAAAATGAAAATTAAAAATAACAGGTTTACGACTGTGGGTATCTTTGCTTCATTACTGACATTAGGTGAAGTGAAATGGTGAGTGAGGAAAATAAAGCAATCGATATAGTTGTCCAGTTACATGTATTTATGTAGACAGAACACGTATGTATGTGTATTTCTCCTCACACTCGACCTATTGGATTAGGTATTTGCGTTGATTGTGACTACAAGTGGAATTCAAGCTTCTCATTTCGTCCTGTTAGTGACTACTCAGCTGGATTTACCTGCATTCCCAGTGAGTGATACTGTTCTCATGGATAGTCGAATGTTAAATGTCAGAACATTGTATGTCAAGATACAGTCACCATCAACTAAAATAACTTCACTCTACTCCTTGGACATCGTCGAAGCATTGGTACTAGGAGACAGCATGTTAACACCACAGACTGAGCATTTCTGTCTGTTTCATCCTAGTGCGAGACAACCTGAACAGTATACATGCGTCTGCATTAATTAGTGCAACAATGATTTTCAATGAAGCACACCTATATACACCATATGCTGTTGTAAGTTAGTACTTTCAGGTTAAGGTTTCAGTTTTCCAAAAACAGTGAAAATGAACTGATTATCAATTATAATTTATTAATTATAAAAATAATATCTCCAGTCTGTTGTCTATTCTCAAGGAGACTAAAACCACATCGGTACATTTTATGTACATATATATATATTCTTTTGCGTGTTTTGTTTCCTTCTACTAGGTGATTACGATCATAAAGTTCTCTTTTGTCTTCATAATAATTATTTAGATAGAAGTAAACTTGTATAACCTTTGATAAGATTTCATTTTGTTTGTTAACTTTCTCTCCTTCTACTCTTGCCTCATTTTGTTACTTGTTTTTATTGCATTCACGTATATTATGTAGGCGCGTCAATTGTTACATTCCTTCCCAATCGATACAAAGTTATCAGATGGAAGTAAGTTTTTTGTTTGCTTTTCCTTTTTCTTTGGATTTTACTACTTTTCAATTTTCAAGAAAATAAAATGTTTGCTTTTCTCAAATGCTTGGAAGACGTCAGCAGTACTGAGAGAGTGTTTAAAATTTTGATTATATGTATATTTATATATATACAGCGTTATATGATCAAGTTGAATTTTTGGCAGACTTTAGTGTTCATCTTTCCAGTGGAACTGTTAAAACTTATTGTCAAAAGTCTGTGTTACTCATAGTATAGGGGTTAACTCTTCGTTATAGATTTCTGCAATTTTATAATTTGAGTATAGAAAAGAGTGATATTCTCACTGTTAGCCTTATGCTGGTCGCCGGATTTGTTTTTCCTTTATTTGTATGTGTGTGTGTGTCTGTGCGAAGATCTCGTATATTTAAAGAAAGCTTATGATCTGATTTTGTCCAGATAATAGTGACGTAACTCTATTTTCCTTTACTTCCATGTGAATCCCAACTCATTCATCCTGAGTAGTTATGAGTTTGAATCATCTGATTATCTATAGGCTTAAATAAATTTTTCAAATTCTGAAGTTTGTTCAGAAGAATGATCCTTGTGACTTCTAACGGAAGTATGTGTGTAAGTGACTTGTCACACCACAAAACAACAACGTCTAAACAACCAATTATAGACGTATTATACTTACGCATTGGCTAATGATCACGCCTTATCGTGAATTGGCATAAGTTGGAATTCATGTGCCATTGAACCGACGAGATAGCTGCCCAGTACTCCACGGCTTATTTTCCAATGATTCTCTAATCAATGTCAGCTCGTGATAAAATTGTGTAAACAGTCGAACACCGGCAAGTCAACACATGAATAATTGGAAATTGTCCAACATAATGTCTTCTGATTTTCCTTGTATCTTTTTAACGGTTAATAATTGATTTTCAACAGTCAGTTTATAGGTAATTTGATTTGTTTCAAGTGTGACGTACGTCAGATCGGTATCAGTTAGCAAAACCACTGGGAAACCAGCAGGGAGTACTGGACAGCGGTTTCGTCCTCGTTTGAGACTCTTCATCACTACGCACCCACCGGGGTTTGAACCCAGGAGCTTCCGTTTACAAGGCGAGTTGGATGGTCTGCGATCTACTTGTCTTTGCATAATAAAAGGATACAAATCGCTTTTTGGTCAGCAGTTGCTGACATCCATACCGATATTTGTTCTCCTGAGTTTTACATAAAAATATGTGTATGATTTCAAAGGGATTGACGTCAAGATTGTTGAGCTTATTAGCCTACTACAGGTGTCAACTCTTTGTGTGTGTTTTTTTCGGTCTGTTTGGAATATTACAAGGGCTTCACTTGTAACCGGAGGGCCCTGGGTTCGAGCCCCTGTGGTGGGTGCGTTGTACTGTCGAAGAGTCCCTAACTAAGACACAACAGTTCAATGCATGATGAGAATCACGCTAGCATCCCTCAACACCTGTAAGTGCAAAGTTACCTAAGAATTATCGTTAAATCTTTCATATAGAGAAGGATATTGTGGGACCTTATCGTGTAAAATACTTGTATTTATTTTGTTTTACGCTCCAGCTTACAACTGTTTTCACTAGTCAACACGTTTTCATGAATCTTGTAATAAATCTATGAGTTACATCCAGACAATATATATATATATATATTTCACTGTACAGTAGTCTGGTTGTATTGATTTGTCCTTAATGTTCAGTTTGTCTCATATTATAGGGTGTAAAGGTACTGACAAGGGTAATTAATCTGGGATAAGTGAGTCGGGAGTGAGGAAGAGTAAGGTCGTGCTGGGAATTCACTGTAGTATGAAAAGCATCTCCCCCGCTATATTTCTCTTCATTTTTGTTAAAAGTTTTCTATGTTGTTCTTCATGTTAATATTAATGAAAATAATTAGTTAGAAAGAATTAATTTTACTGTTCAATTATTCATGTTCAACTCTTCTCAGACAAATTGATGCAATTAACAAATCAGCAGACGGAAATCTACATTCACTATCTGATTGTTTTCTTTTTTTTCCCCTGAGAAGTCTTAAAAACAAAATGAATTGTGATAAGAGATGCTAACAATTAATGTATTGTTGTGTGTGTGTGTATGTATAAACAGAGTAAGATTTTTTGATGCATTACTGACTTGTACGTGTAAGTGGGAAACACTCAACCACTGGTACATTTGCTAGGCATGTGGAAGCGATCTGAATACACTGGGTAGTCGGTCTCCTCACCTGTGTACTCGGATGGACTCAATTCGGACGATAGAATCAATTAAAACCATCCCTAGCTGTGGCTAGCTACTTTAACATTAGGCGTTTGGCATAAAAGCAGACATGTCATTTTTGTAGATAACACTTTTCAGGAAGGAGGAAATTTTGCCACTTGTTTCTTTTGATAATGTACTGGCTGCTCTGAAGTTTTATCTAGTGGTTACATTGGTTTTCCGGGATAGGGTCGCCAAACCTACGGCCAGCCTTCCCTCATATCTGGCCCAATAAACCAGGCCAGCTCATTATACTATCAATTATTATCATTATTCCCTTGGGTTCCGAGTGGAATATAGGGAGGGCTTCAGCACGACATCTTATTTTATCTTGTTCTCTGTAATCCAATTTAGGCGGCTCTACGATTCTCCAAAATCTCTCTTTTTCTTCTCCATGTCACCTTCAGACACATACTCGATTCGGCTCTTTTCCTACTCGAGTCTTGGTCGTCAGATATCACTCAATGGTCTCCTCAGTGTGTGTCCGATTCATCTCCATTTTCTTCGGAATATTTGTTGTGCACTAGGGTCTTGATTAGTTCTTTCTCAGCGTCCTGCTGCTAACTCTCTCTTACCGGCTATCTGATCCTCAGTATGAAGCATAGCCAGCTGTTAATTAAAGTTTCAGGTAGCCTTTTGGAAACGCTTTTTGTGACGTTGGCACCACACTTCTGACTCATATAGAAACAGTGACTGACTAACTGACCTAACATCGGTGTCGAACAGAATCTGAATTTTGTTGTTTATGCTGAAGCGGAGTGCAGGAGATTTCCGAATCCTGATGTGGTTTGTTATCGTCATCCGTTCAGACTGCCTGTAGTTGGAACGATGCTTCCTAGATAAGGTTAGAAAATGACCTCTATCAGATTTCTTCCGTTAATATTGAACAGTGCTTGTTATTGTTGGTCATTTGGATATCTTCATCCCCTCTGTGATCTCTATGTTCACTTGAAGTCCTATGTTTGCTGGCAGCCTCTGCTGTTTGTTTTTTGCTTTTCACCTGTAACTCTTCGAGTGTGTTTGACACTAGACATAAATCATCTGCGAGAATTTCAGATCTTCTGCAGTCTTCTTATCGGTCTTATGTATTCATGTCTTCTCTCTCTCTCCACTCACAATCTGATGCATAATCTCACTCCAACACAATTAGGAATATCGTTGATGATTACAGTAGGCAGCTTTGTCTCATTGTATTATGATTCTGTCTCCTATGTAAATGGTATTATTGGTAATTTAATGAATACAGTATGTTTCATCCTACTGTACATTAAATATAAATATAATTATGGGCAATGTCGTTGTGTAATACAGGGATTGTCAACTATATAAATAATAGTAAGTTGGATAATAAATGAGTATAGTTAATTGACTAACCGGATTTATGTGATTACCGTGGAACTATGTTAGAATTATTCAGTGAAGGAAACACACACACACACAGAGGGACAAGCATTCATGTGTTAGAACTAATAAATCATAGGTAGTAAAACACAACCCTTAACCCAGAAAAGATAAAAACAACAACAAAAAGTGTAAGCACATTTCTCATATGACAGTGGAGCAAAAAGTGGACAGTTGGTGGTAATTAATGATAAGTAACACAGAGGGAAGTTTTTTTCTGATTTTCGATTATTGAGTTTATGAGGATATCAATAATAAAGAGAAATAGAAGGTTTCAGCAAAGAGTTACTCTCTTTTCGGCTATATCATTCTTAAGCAGTACAACCAGTATCTCTGCCGATGAGTCTCCATTGAATTGTAGATTTCGATAGAGAAGTTTTTCCGGAAACAGAAAGTGTTAGCGGCTTTGCTGGTTTAGGTTTCATGGATTTTGTGATGAAGCGTTCTCGGTAGCCATTTTTAGGAGCATTCTCTTCATAGTGTTTAGCTCCTCTTAAATGGCATGAGTTCTGCGGATTCTGTGGCTCAGTGAACGGATCAGTTTTCGTTTTGTACATTAATAATTTCAAGTAGTTTTCGTCAGAAACCGACATGACTTAGCGAAAAGGATAGTGTTGGATATCTTTTATCTTTTCTTTCATCTCGTCTTTGGCAATTTAAAACAGAACGATGATCAGTCGAAGTTGGGACTCTGTCATGATAGTGACTTTCTGAATGAATCATACCATGCTAAACTTTTAACCCGAACCTCTTGAGTTAAATCCCTAGATGTCATGCTCTTCCAAAGTAGTACCTAACTAAGAATATGAGACAACTGTCAATTCATGACGATCTCCACTTTTCTGTTGGCAATATTAAGTGATCCATAGGGTGCTTTAATAGTTTCATCTTTAATATTTTACTGTAAAATAATCATATTTTAAGGAAAATTGTCTCTAACGGCTGTATTTCTTGGTTACAGTTGGTTTCATTTTTCCCTCGATTCAGTGATAATATATTAATTACATAGTCTTGTGTTCTTACAACGATAGTATAAATAGATAAATGATTAAGAATATCTTTCCACAGGATGTTATACATATCCTCTTAGGTTCCTAGTGGAACACAAGCCAACATCTTCATTTCACCCTGTTTGCTGCAGTCGTCTTTAGCTAGTTCTACGATTTCCCATAAGCCCTCATCTCCTCCTGACATGATCTCCTCCAACTTGTCGTTTCTCATCCAGGCTTCACTTGAGTTATAGCCTGGCAGTGCCACCCTCATCTGCCAGCTTCTTGGTTTTCGCCTGCAGTTTGTGTGACATTAGACATACGTTGTCCACAGGTTTAAATCCTTTAGAATCTTCTTCTCAGTCTAAAGTTCTCCTTTCTTCTCACTCCCATGCACAGTCTGCTGCGTAATCCACTCCACCACACTTAGGCATATCATTGTTGATGATAGTAGTCAGCCTCGTTTTTACTCCTGTCTTCACTTCAAAGGTTTCGCTTACCTTTCTGTAGTAAAAATCACTTGAAATGTGACCTGATCATCATCAAATAGCTGTTGAATAATGTTCATAAAGACTTGGGGCACGCCGTAGTGTTAAAGCAGTTTCCAAATTACTTCACACTCAAAGGTCTCGAAGCCTTCTCCAAAGTTGATGTAACTACCATTGAGGATGATGAAATGAAACTCTCTGGGCTTCGGAAGTTTGGATATTCATTTTTAAGCAGCAGAATACATTTAATGAATAAATTCCAGCTAATTAGTTTAGAACAATAACAAAACTTTTTTTCTCTGTATTAACTAACAAGTATATATCCACTTACATAAAAGAATAAAAATTAATTGACAAAAGTTAGTTTCTCCCATCCCATCTTAACAAGAGGATAAGAAGTAGCATATGCATAAATTTTGAAGTAAGAATTACCCTTCTTTTATTCATATACATTATTATCATTTGCTTTAGCCTATTCACCTAAATTTCCTCAAGTCAATCTAAGCAAACTAATTAAATTTTATTGTCTCTGTGTCTCTCTTACTCTGTTTCAACCCCAACCTCTCTCTCTCTCTCTTGGTGATTCTTTCCCCTCTGTGTTCATCTGTTGTTAACCGGAAAACATATAACCAGAAGGAATTTTTATCAGGCTCATTATTATTATTTAATTAGAATGGGGAAAATAAGAAATTAAATTGACCTCTGTTATTCATGTTAATGACTATTTAATCTAGTAGAGTAAAAGCAAGGATGGATGGAGAAAAAGGAGTCGAAATGAAAACGTTGTATTCATTATCAATCATTACTTGAGTCCCTTTGTTTATGTAATGCTTGAATTCGCCCCCCCCTCTTTTTCTGTCTTCCCTGTTGCTTCTCCCTATCATCCATCCTTCTTCTTTCTCTCTCTCTCTCTGCTTCTCTCCACCTCAACCCTGTTGATATAAGTGTATGCATATATATATCATTTGAAAAGCATTGGTTTTCTCTGTAACTTTTGGCTGCAATATCGCTGTATACACTTATTTTCAATCAAAAACAAAAAAAAAACTTAAGAATCATTTTCATTCTTTGCTCAAATCTGATTGACTTCAAGTTTGTTAACTTACTGAGTACGGGACGCTTACCAATCGTTCTTGTTTCTAACCACGGGGACCATTGGATTTCATCGCAGTGCCTAAATGTTCAAAGTGCTGGCTTCGTACTGATGGTATAGCTGTCCAGTACCTCCTTTAACTGTGATGTATCCTCAGTACTTGATTTAACCTAAAAGTTTTAATTTATTTTAACCAAATATGTTTTAACTACTCATAAGTAGACATTTATAAAATTATATTTGTAAAATCTCAGCGAAATAGAAATGATTAATTCCAACGTTTCGTTCGGCAATCTGATCCGAACTTCTTCAGGAAAATTAATCGAGATTAACATAACAGAGGTTTATATATAAAAGGAACATCTCTTGTTTTTGAAATTTTGTCCAATTGTGAGCCATGAAACTGGCATCAACGCGTAAAACAAAATTGTATGGGGGATTTCACCATGAGCTGACATCAGGTAGAGAAACACTAGAAAGCCTGGGAGTACTGGACAGCTGTTTCATCCTAGTTTGGGACTCTTCATCAGTATGCACCCACCAATATTTGAAAACAAAATTGTAGTTGGTGTGATTTTTAATCTTTATGTGTGAGCGTCACTTAGACTTCTGCTGAGAACAAAAGATGTCGAATGAATCTGCTTGCTTTCTGTTATATATCATCTTTCCCTATAAGCTAATATGAAGGCATTTATTGTGTCTTCTGTGGACATTAGTTAGAAAATCATTGAAAACCAGAGAACTCTTCTCGTGTTGGACGCTCCAATAGGTGTACTGATGACTTAATCAGGAATTTAACAACGTGAGCGGGCTCCCACTCTCCAACTGTATCAGAATCAACGAATCCTAGGACTTTTCATTTTGTCGTCATGCAATATGACCGTGGGACATTTCTCCTCACATTGTACTTGACAAACTCCACTGGGTACTAATTAGTGTTGTAGCTCCAGGAATGCAATCCTGTACTCAGTCACTGATAAACAATAGGTTGATTCCTAATGCCTTAATTTACTAGATCAATCAGTGTAATTATTACAGCTGTCAGCTGGAACGTTTCTAGTGTAGTGAAAAAGAGCCGTTTTCACGTAAGCATATCAGCACCTGAATTACACTGATCGGTGTACAACCTTACGTTCCCTGGACCCAGGTATTTATTTAAAGCATATAGAATAAATGCTTTCAATGAGGTATTTTACAAATTGAACACGTTATGTTCAGATGAATTTTGCGCTGAATTTCCTAATCTACTCTACGACCAATGTTCACGAAATCCTATTATTCGAAACCTGAAACTACAACATTAAATATTTCAAATTTCATCATGAACTGAAATGAGTTCGATTTAAATCACTACATATCAGTCTGAAGTGTGCCTACACTTATGTATTAGTAAAGCAGGTGACTTTATGAATTTCTTCTGAACACAAAGACTCAACTTCTGCAGATCGATTCCAATAGTAGTTGCTGTATTTATTTATATAAGACAAAATTAAGGTTGACGGGAACACGATCAACAACAATAAGCACGGTTAAAATAGAGCCACGAATCAATTGTGTTGTTGTGCCGTACTTTTAACCTTGATAAAGAATGATATTCAGAAATCTGACGATGAACAGTACCGAGCATTAAAAGCCGGAGGTAACTTGGCTCCAAATGGATCAGTCACACTTAAAGTTTACATACACAGCTTGAGCTATTCTCAAATATGCTTTTCGTCGTTTTATGCTTTATTTACTTTCTCTTTCTCTATCATTTTAGCACCTTTTTGGCAATTCCCTAAACGACCACCGAAACCAGTAGAATTTTCGCCAGCAGATCCTCTGTAAGTTTTCTAGTATACTTCTTTTAGAGTTATATAACAGTAGAATTTTCATCTTAAAATTATTCTCTATATGTGTATATGTATGCGTGCATGTAAATGTATGACTGTACTAGCTAAATGTTTAAAAGTTCGTCAGTGGTCCAGCCCTCTAACTACCCACGTAGTCTGGAGCTCGATTCCCAGTCCACACACTAGTAAACCTTGCTCATCTCCTGGTAAGCTTGGTAAAAAGGGAAAATCAGGCACAAGACTAGTAGTCCCACCAGATAAAAAAGCACCACTACTACCAAAAATTCAAAAACTCAATAGTTTAAACCTTATGTTCCTTTCGGAACGCAAAGGAATGGAAAAATAAAGTGTAAGTAGCCAGCGGGAAGCTCTGGGCCTACATTAAATGTTTATTTTCGGAGGCTGGCCAACTGGCTGTATGATTACCTTTCGCTAACACTAAATAAAGACTAGGCACATAAAGTTGGCTTCTCCCCAATGATCGATGAATCTATTCATTACCGTCGTCCTTCAAGAGGTCAGTTATGAACAAGAATAACTCATTGGTAATTGTCTTTGACTGTAACACTGAATGACATGGGTTTGACATCAATTCTTTCCAAATTGCAGCTACATACATCTTACCGATGAGTGCTCACAAGCATGACACCATAGTCTAAGGCCTCCGGTCGACTACCTTCAACCATCCACCAACACTTGTGTTTAAACTTGAGACAACTATGTATAGCTAGTCTCAGTAAAACCAAACCAATGTATAATACTTGTACCCAATATAGAAGTCAACTAAGAGACACGGATATTTCACTTAAATTTCAGGCCATATAGAATTAATTAAATCATTAATTTTATAATGTAAACAGTGTTTGCATTTATTTACCTATTTTAGCGTCATGTTATTTTTTTTTTCTGTAATAACAAATCAATCACATGGTGGTTATGTGTCACCTTGAGATTAAAATGTTCACTAAACACCTTTTAGTGTTTTAATTCACATGAATGTGGTAATTATTGTTTCGTTGAGTTCCAAGTGGAGCATACGACTTCCAGAGAACATATCCATTTTGTCCTGTTCGCTTCAGTACTCTTCATCAGGCCCCGCGATTGCTTTCATCTCCTCCTCCTCCTCACACGATCGTCTCCATGTCACCTTCGAACACACACCCAACTGGTCCTTTCCTATCCTGGTGGTCCCACTCGAGCGATGACCTGACACACGACGACACCATAACGGTCTCCTCAGCATCTAGCCATTCCCTCTCCGTTTTCCTCTACATATGTTTTGACTAATAGTTTTTCTTTGATTGGTTCATCCCCAGAGTTTCTTCCTGCTAATCCTTTCTGGCCGGCCATCCGATGATTAGTCTGGAGCCAATAAAGTTAACTATCGATAAAATTCTACAACCGGCTGTTTTAAATCCTTCCCATGACGTTGGCGCCATATTTCTGACTCATATAGAAACAGTGACTGACTAACTGACCTAACATTGGTGTCGAACAGAATCTGAATTTTGTTGTTTATGCTGAAGCGGAGTGCAGGAGATTTCCGAATCCTGATGTGATTTGTTATCGTCATCCGTTCGGAGTTCCTGTAGTTGGAACGATGCTTCCTAGATAAGGTTAGAAAATGACCTCTGTCAGATTTCTTCCGTTAATATTGAACAGTGCTTGTTATTGTTGGTCATTTGGATATCGTTGGATGCGTCGGTGGCACAGTGGTTAGGACTCTCGCCGACCATGCACATGGTCCGGGGTTCGAGCCCACGCCGACGCACACCTGATATCTATGGTCGGCCTGCGAATTTTGGGCTACCGATATCCATGCTGAGAATTCCATACTTGTACCAAAAATACGGTGTGGAATCAAGCTGTAATCAAAAATTAAAAAAAAAATAAATAAATCTTCATCCCCTCTGTGATCTTTATGTTCACTTGAAGTCCTATGTTTGCTGCCAGACTCTTCTGTTCGTTTTTCGGTTTTCACCTCTAGGTCCTTGGATTTTTTGTAACATAACCCTAACCTTGCCCAGTTTATTGGTTCTCTAGTTTTCTAGCCTGTCTTTAGCCCAGGAAAAAGAAAGCGTATGTTGGGCACCCAGCTAGCACCTCGACCCTTGAAAATCCGTTTGTGATAATACCTTTTACTTTTTTAACTAATCCTCATCTCTGGTGTAATTTGTTTTTGTGACTCAGCATAGTTTTACCAGTTGTCCTTTTTTTCTTCTTGTCTAAATGTATTATCCTTCTAGAACGCATGCCCACAGTGGTTAGCTTCCGTATCAGTTAAGAAGGATCCTATTCGTTCTGCATTGAAACTGTTCGTTGGTGTGTGTAAACCCAAGAACTTCATATCAAGACATATACAAGCACATTAATAACTGGTCGTTGATTGGTGTTGAATCCCACTAGCCGTTGGATTGTTAATTCAACCAAATCATTAGATAGCGTCACCACTAACCAATATCCTTTGTAGTCGGTTGGTTGTCTTTCTTCACACTAACTACTGAGAGGCTGAGTTGTCAACGTAAAACTTTGCACAAAACTGCTGGAATTCAAATTTGGCACACTTTATAGAAAAGCTCACATAAAGTTGGTGAAAAGAAAAAAAAGCAAGCTAACTTTCTGCACGAGAATGAATAATCACCTGTAAAATACTGAGAATTTAATTCATGCAGGAATTCAAAACGAGTGTGAATGCACCTGTGTCTGTGCCATGTTATCAACTGTCTCAAGTCATGGGTTTTTAGCATCTCAAAGACACCAGTCAACCAGGTAACTGACATCTCGACGCTTAGCTCACACTATCAGTCAAACACTTCATGGATTTATAACGGACTTTAGTGTGACCATACATAATTCTTTTTCAACCTAACGCTATGTCAGCGAACATTGGTCGACGTGGAAGCCGATTGTTTTTGTGTGCGTAACATGTGTCCCGGTCATCTCAATAGACTTGCCTCATCTGCCTAATCTCAGTACCACTAACCATATTTTTTGCCGACCAACACAGCACATAAAACCTGTGTGCACACTCAGCATAGTGGTGACCTAACTATATAAATCATTGAGTTTGTGGCTAAATCCATACTTCCCCTAAAATCTAGTTATTCAATCCATCACAAATGGAACATCCAAATACCATATCAATCGACTGAACACGCACACGCATACGTTCACATCCAAAGCAGTCACAAAAGAAGTACAACAACAGCAGAAATAAACTAAACAATTTCTTCAAACATTTGTAAATATTTGTGTTTGTTCTTTTTTTTACTAAATAGAATATACTTTTTGCAGAAACAATTTCTCCAACTGAAATTGTTGTTAGCCAGTAGAGTTTTCATTGATATAAGCAACTAACTGACTTAGTATGTGACCAAATAAACGGCCATGAGATATCGATCGGTAGTGAAAAAGAAGAAAAAGTGATTCCATGTCTGACCACCACATGCATACCTTACAGTGCACCTTTTCTTTTTATCAAATTGCAGAAATTTCCTCTTTTTTTTAATATTTGGCAAAGACGGTGAAGGGGAAAGTCTTCTTTTGAAAAAAATATATTTTGCAATTAAACTGTGTTAAATAAAAGAGAGGAAAGTGAAACAATCTAGTTTTGTAGCACGCAAAGTCATCGCCTTCATCGTCTAGAGATGTTGGTTGACATAGGGTTAGGCTGTGAAAGAGTTGGGCGGCTGTGGTTAGGGCGAAAACATGAAATCTATCCATGGAGTGTTTCGCTGTTGATTCGATTCACATAAGGAGGCTTTCTTATGGCCTAATGGATAACAACACTTCGTGCGTCGATGGTTCAGGGGTAGAATGCCATCCCCTCCCTCTGGCCACGTGCGTGATCCAAATTCGATTCCCGACTGATGCACTCCTAAACCCGTCACCTAGCCGGTAATATGCCATGAAAGGAGGGAAGGCTAGGCGTAAAGACAAAACACAACTGCTACTGAAACTTACAGGCTAAATGCTTCGAGTCTTATTTTCAACTAGGAACCCAAAGAAATAAAATGTGAAAAATAGGGAGACTTGAGCTGTTTCGACTGAAGTCATTGAGACGCTAAGAACTAATAACTATAAACACAATGGATGGTGTGGCTTAGTGACGCAAATGTATTCGTTCATAGAAATCCATTAAATTCGCATTTTTCTCTACTTTTGTGTGTGTGTGTGTGTGGGGGGGGGGGGGAACTGCTGGACTTTTGTGCAAGGTTTTATGTCGAAAATTCAGTTCAGTTCAAACATAAATTCACTTAACAATGATAGAGAAAAATTACAGTTTGGATGAATGACTTCGATTTTTTGGTTTGCATACTCTAGAAAAGTTGCGATAAGTTCACTTCATTTTGATGTTTACGCTTAATAGTATTGCCTAGATGGACACCGAAAGCTTCACAGTTGAATTATTGAGTTCAGATAGTGCAGTTGCATCAAAATATGCTTGAACTTGGAGATAAGTCAGGTGTATTGTGTGATTGCTAACGGTGAGGAGTAGCATGCATACTACTTAGTTGCTCATATTTCCGCGATTTTAAAGTGAAATGTATAAGAATAATGAGCTAGAATCATATATATATATATATATATATATATATATATATATATATATATATATATATATATATATATATACACGCATACATATTCACGCACATCTAATCCAAATGAATCAAGAATCTATTGTTCAACAAATATGAATGGGAAGTGACAAGTTAGATGTATGAAGTCTAGAGTGAATCGAAGAAATGAAAGCTTTTAAGTAGTTATGAGGCCAACTGAAGAGAATAGGTCATTGGGGAGATGTCCTTTTGAAGTCTTATATTCCACTTGTAATCTACCATTCTGTTAATTTTTCGCATCACCTTGGTGATTGCAGTTGTTATTTACGATGGATACGTATGCGTATTTTTGCTGGACTTTATCTATAATAAGTCTGTTGAATACAGCGCCACTTTTTCCAGATTTCTTTATTTCCAACCGCTGAATTT